CTTGACAGTTGGATTCTAAGGTCTGCTTGCACGCGTTTCAGAGTCCTAATAGATGTTTTATTTTTCAAGCTTAATTCCATTGCTGTGTTAGCTGTAGTTTTAACATCATTCACAGTCTCAGTTAATTTAGCGATGTCTTCCCTCAGTGAGAGGAGTGCTCTTGCCCAGTCTTGGGCAAATTCCTTCCTGATTAGGGCTACTAGGCCTTGTGCATTTTCAAGGCCAGGGGTGCGGGTGGCACTAGGACTTGCTGATCAGAAGGTTGGCGGTTTGAATCCCCGTGACAGGGTGAGCTCCCGTTGCTCTGTCCCTGCTCCTGCCAACCTAGCAGTTCGAAAGCACGTCAAAGTGCAAGTAGATAAATAGGTACCACTCCAGGCGGGAAGGTAAACGGCGTTTCCGTGCGTTGCTCTGGTTCGCCAGAAGGGCTTAGTCATGCTGGCCACATGACCTGTACGCCGGCTCCCTCAGCCAATAAAGCGAGATGAGTGCCGCAATCCCAGAGTCGGCCACGACTGGACCTAATGGTCAGGGGTCCCTTTACCTATTTTCAAGGCCTATCAGTTTCTCTGCTTCTGCTTTTTCATTTTTGGAAGCTTTGGCAGCCATTTTGGGGCCTGCTAGTGCTTGGCCTGTGCCTGAGGGAGATTCTTTCAAAGGTAGTGAAATCCATGGATCTAAGGTCCCTTTTAGCAATCCAGACTTGCTAAAGCTCATAGCCTAACAGGGGGAATTATTTTTAAAATGCTTACTCATCATTGTCTCAGTTTGTGCTGGTTATTGTTCTCAGGAAGGAGCTCAGCGGCGATTCAAGGCACCATCTTGGTTGATGATGTCACCCCCCCCCTGCCATTCTTGATAAGGTCAGCATGCAGGTTAGCAATCTTTGAAGGATCATTTTGTCAGTAGCTTCCATGTTTAGAGATTGATTTGGGGCCATGCCTTTTCCAAAATGCATGAGAGAGGATAAGAGAAGTAGGTAAGGTCATAATCCTTGCTCCTGGTCCCAGATGTGCTAGGCAGCCTTGCCTACTGGTACTTGTAACAAATTTGAAGGTTCAATGGGGGGTGGGGAGTGCAGGAAGTTGAGCACTGGACTCAACCTGTTGCTCTAGCATGTGCCTGTTATGATATAGAAGCAATGCGGCCGCGAGCTGGTAGCTTGAAAGCAAAACATAATGGGAATGTTGGGACTGTTCCGTGGGAAACAGAGGGACAGTCAATTCACAGTGCAGAGGGCACCGGAATTAGCTCAGAGTGTAATATGAGCTGTACAGGAAGTACAGGTGGAGTTTGTCTCTCGACTGCTGAAGCTTGAAGAGAGCAGTCATGATTTCTGTAACGCTGCAAAGACAGAAATAAAGGCATGTAAATACGTTTCTGTCTATCTCTTTCCCCTGCCGGGGGGGGCAGGAAAGAGGGGGGTGTTCTTCTCACTCTGAGAAGGATCGCCTATCGCGACCTCTGCCTGGATCCTGCTGGGGAATGCAGACAGGGAGGTCAACAGGAGATCAAGCCGGGTGCCTGGAGAGTGGCCAGTTTCTCCTGATAAAGGCTTGATTCCCAACATCTGGTAGCAGAGGATGGTTTTGATCCATGCAAGCAACAAGAGAGGTTGATGGATCGTACTTCATCCTCTGCAAAGAAGATAAAGAATGTGGTAGCGGGCGGATGGAAGCTACAAGGACGGCTGAGCACCGGAGGAGGTGTTTTTGCTGAGCAACGGATTCCCTCAAGGTATGGTGATTTTATGGCTGTGAGAGTGAACGCGAGTTGAAGCATTCTTCGGTTCACTGAGTGTCTGCTTTTGGATGAAACCAGCACTGAAAGAGAGCCACATATTTCGCATACCTGAGTCTTGATAAGCCTGGAATGTCCAGTTGCTAAGCAACGAAACGTCAGTAAAGTGGAAAGTTACTGGCCAACAACGGAAGAGGGGCTGGGACTGTGAGAGGCTGGTAAACAGCGTTTGTTTTGTCTATTATCTCACTGCTCTTGGAGGGACTTTCAAAACAGCCTGCGTTTAGCTGCCAAGTGAGGCAGTAAACAGCCAATAGACTCTTGGATTTTACAAGCTCACTGCTGAAAGCTGAGGCTTGAGATTGAGATGGCTTTGTTCTCTCAGAAGCTCCGAAAAGCTTGTGAAGCTGGAGTGAGAAGCAAGAACCGAAAGTGTACTACCCCAGAAGGGGAGCCAAGATGGTGCTGGCCAAATTCCTAAAAGCTAATTGAAAGCTGAGGAGAGCTTTGACCCCAAAAGGGGAGTGAAGGAACTGTTGCTGTTCCTGTACTTGCTGCAATGGATGTTGCTGACAGGGGGAGAGAAGCTCGGAGTTGTAGCGCCCCCACTGCCATTGCAAGGAAAGAGCAAGCTGAAGCTCTGAACGTTGTTTGTTGTCGCAATTGTGGCCAACCTGGGCATCTTCAGCGGAACTGTAAGAGGCCACGTCAGCAGAAAGGAGCTAAGGGAAGCTCTGCAAAGCCTGAGGTGTCAGGCAAAAGTCGTACCAAGTCCCAAGTGGAACCAGCTATGGCTTTGATGTCACTAAAAGCCACACCAGAAGTGGAAAACGCTTTTATTTTGGACACTGGAGCGATGCAACACATGATGTCGCGGCGAGATCTGTTTTCAACGTGTAAGAAGCAAAGCTTCACTGTGAAACAAGCCAACGGTCAGGAGCTGGAAGCGACCGGGTTTGGAACTGTGTATCTAGAGAGTCTGAACTTGACTATTAACAAGGTGTATTTGGTTCCTGATTTAAAGTTCAATCTGCTGAGTGTTTCGCAGATCACAAAGAAAGGACTGACTTTGTCCTATGATAGAGAAAGCTGCAAAATCTTCAAAGATGGAGAGCTGTATCTTTCTGCCAGAGAGAAAGATGGACTGTATTTGTTGACTTTTGATCAAAGTGATTGCATAAATTGTAATGCATCTGATTCTAACATGATTTCTCTCGCAGGTGTGTCGAAAAAAATCCAGAAGACGACAAAAGTAACCAAAGCTTTTCAGCGAGTGTATGCTGATGTGATTGGTCCTCTAGCACTGTCTAGAGGCAATGCAAGATATTATCTTGTGTGTGTGGATTATTTCTCTCATTATGTGTGGGTACATATATTGCAGAAACCACAAGAAGCCTTAGAAAGGTTTAAAGAGTTTTGTGACAAGGTTACGAATGTTCATAATGCTAACATTGATTGTCTTTTCACAGATGAAAAGCCAGTTTTTCTTTTGCAGGATTTTCAGGATTTCCTGGATAAGAAAGGGATAAGGCACAAGACTGCTGTTTCTGCAGAAGCATGGAACAGAAGTGTCTGTGTGCAAGTGAACAAAGAATTGCAAAATGGCATGAAAGCGCAATTGCAAAGTTCACATTTGCCACATGAGTATTGGGCGGAATCGTTAATGTGTTTTTGTTACAGTTGGATGACAAAGGTTTCAAAAGATTTGGGAAGTTCTCCTTTTGAGAAGCTGTTCCACAGAAAACCTTCTGTTGCCCATTTTAAGGTTTTTGGGTCTCATGTGAAGACTGAAGCTCCAGGTGGAGTAAAGAATGCTAGAGGCATTTTTGTGGGTTATGAAAAGGGTCTCTACAGAGTAATTTTGTCTGAATCTGGTCAGGTGGTTCTCACAAAATTTCTAGAGAGTGCTCCTGAACAGGAGAGAGTAATTGTTCACACATTTCCCACTGAGGACAATTCAGATGATGATGATGATTTTACTGATTACAGTAGTACTGAGAGTGACAGTGATAGCTCAAAGAGCTCACTGTCTCAATGACACAGTCATTGAGAGGAAATCTCACACAATGGATAGACCTTCACAGGTGAAGGATGTACCACTGTTTACTATTGGAACTGGTTCTCCAAAGAGTCCTGAGACTGAACCAGTGAGCAGAGAGGATCAGCACCTCATACGCAGGTCCGAGAGAGTTACAAAGGGTGTACCACCCAAGAGGTATTCAAAAGAGTTTGCTAACTCAGCTGTAGCATGTGTTACTATTGTTGACAACTCAAGACAGGTTAAAGGTGTGTCTAAGTCAGAGACAAAGACACAACAGGGAGTTGCTAAGCGTAACACTACATTCCCTAGCCAAGGAAATGCAGATGCACTCATTCCTTGGAAGTCAGACAACCAGAGAGGTACACTGGGGAAACCAGTGGCGGGTAGTTCCAAGGTTGGAACTGAAACAACAGGGGAGTGTTATATATATAACAACTATTTGTTTTCTTCTCTGGATCATGCTTTGCTCGCAGCGCACATTGATTCATATGGTGGAGTATGTTACGATATAGAAGCAATGCGGCCGCGAGCTGGTAGCTTGAAAGCAAAACATAATGGGAATGTTGGGACTGTTCCGTGGGAAACAGAGGGACAGTCAATTCACAGTGCAGAGGGCACCGGAATTAGCTCAGAGTGTAATATGAGCTGTACAGGAAGTACAGGTGGAGTTTGTCTCTCGACTGCTGAAGCTTGAAGAGAGCAGTCATGATTTCTGTAACGCTGCAAAGACAGAAATAAAGGAATGTAAATACGTTTCTGTCTATCTCTCTCCCCTGCCCTGGGGGGGCAGGAAAGAGGGGGGGTGTTCTTCTCACTCTGAGAAGGATCGCCTATCGCGACCTCTGCCTGGATCCTGCTGGGGAATGCAGACAGGGAGGTCAACAGGAGATCAAGCCGGGTGCCTGGAGAGTGGCCAGTTTCTCCTGATAAAGGCTTGATTCCCAACAGTGCCCCCTTCAGCAACTATTTAGTACAGGGGAGTACATTTTTTAAACACATATATACTGGTTTGAAAATTAATTCAGAACCAATTAATCTAGTAAATGAAATGAACAAATTAACAAACACTATTTCATTATGTAATAATAGATAAATCCATTAATACAGTACTCCTGAAAGTGACTTACAGGGATTCCTTGCTGCCCCTGGTCACCTTTGAGTCCAGGTCTTCCTGGTGTTCCTGGCCATCCTGGGCTTCCTTTTTCTCCTTTGACTCCTGCTAATCCTGGAGCACCTGGAGAGCCCTGTGGCCCAGGAAGTCCTAAAACAGGAATGGAAAAGTTACTTATGGGCAATATTGTTGTAAGAAGAAAGAAAATGAGCCTGGCCAAATAATGGCTGACTATGCCCAAGGTAAAACCAAAGAAGTGCCCGGGAGCAATAAAACACTTCAAAATCCAAAATGAATGCGACTTTCACAATTCCATTTCAATAATTTTGTGGAACCTGGAAACAACAGCATTTGGGATGTACATCTATCTATTAAAAAAAGATTCATTGATACATTTTGCTTTCCAAATAACAATAATGTACCTAATGAAACTCTTAAGCCATTTGACATTCTGTAATTAAAATAATAGAATCAGAGAACCAGAGAATTATAGAGTTGGACATCTAGTCTAACTCCCTGCAATGCAGGAATTACAGCTAAATCATTCATGCCAGATGACCAGCCAACCTCTGCTTAAAAACCTCCAAGGTAGGAAAGTTCACCACCTTCCCAAGGGAGTCCTTTCTGAGCATCAGAAGGTTCTTCTTGATGATCAGTCAGAATCTCCTTTCTGAAAACTTGAAGCCATTGATTCGAGTCCTACCATCCAGACCAGGAGAAAACAAGCTTGCTCCATCTTCCATGTAGCAGCCCTTCAGATATTTAAAGATGGCTATCATGCTCCCAGCCTCCTCTTTTCCAAGCTAAACAGACCCAACCCTCTCAATTGTTCCTTATAAGGCTTGGTTTCCAGACCCTTGGTCATTTTCGTTTCCCTCCTCTGCATGCGTTCCAACTTGTCAACAACCTTCTTAAATTGTGATGCCCAGAACTGGACACAGGACTCCAGGTGTGGTTTCACACCTGGATAGAGTGTGAATAGAGTGTGACTATTACTTCCCTTGATTGGAACACTATACTTCCATTGATACAGCCTAGAATAGCATTAGCTTTTTTGTTGCTGCACCAGACTGTTTTACTTTTCACATGTACCACTAGTAAGCCAGCGGTTCCCCATCTTATATTTGGGCACCTGGTTCTTCCTGCCTAAGTACAGAACCTTCCCTCTGTCCCTATTGAAATTCATTTTGTTAACTTGGACCCAGTAATCCTATTGTTAAGGTCATTCTGAATTCTGATTCTGTCTTCTGCAGCATTAGTTGCAGTTTGGTGTCATCTGCAAATTTGATGAACATCCCCTCAATTCCTTCATCCAACGATGCATAACATCAGCATTTCTATCTTGGGAATAGACCAGCATGAAATTCTTTCACTCAATTTTTTTTGTTCTTGAATAAGTACTGTTGATCGATCATTGTACATTAATTGTTCATTAAGTTTGTAAAAACACGTAGAGGTACAGTTGTACCTTGGAAGTTGAACAGAATCTGTTCCGGAAGTCTGTTCGACTGCCAAAACGTTCAAAAACCAAAGCACGGCTTCTGATTGGCTGCAGGAAGATCCTGCAGCCAATTGGAAATGTGGAAGCCCTGTTGGACATTCAGCTCCCAAAAATAGTTCACAAACCGGAACAGTCAACGTTTGCGATGTTTGGAAGCCAAAATGTTTGGGAACTAAGCTGTTTGACTTACAAGGTACAACTGTATGTTGTCTACAAATACTCTTACCTTGAAGCCCGGGTCGACCTTGAGGCCCCGGTCACCCTTAGGTCCCTCTCCAATTTTGCCTGGCAATCCAGGAACACCTGGTTGGCCTGAAGGACCCTGAGGGCCAGGAAATCCTGCTTCTCCCTTTGTACCAGGAATCCCTGGACTTCCTGGAGAGCCAGGGGAGCCCACATCTCCTTTTGCACCTAAGATTTAAAATGACAATCATTTAGGAAACTCGTTATCTTAGACATATGAAGTGTAGAGACTAGTAAATGTCTGAAACTGAGTCATCTAAACTGTTGTTGGTCAGGACCAAGAAAAAAAAGACGGAAGACTTAATAGATGACATTTAACTGGAAACTTGTTTTGGGGATGGGGAAACAGTTTAACTTAGCGGTGTGTGTGTGTGTGTGTGTGTGTGTGTGTGTGTGTAACTGTGCTCTGATAACCATGGATGCTTTCGATGCATTAGCCATTCTGTGTTATCGCTCTACAGAGAAAGCTGCCTGTTCTGTTGTTTGTAGCTCTGGAACAGACCTCTTCAACTTTATCAAAGTTTGTATAGATGTCACCTGAGGAGTCCCTCACACCCTGGGATTCTTGGTTGAGAAGTTGTTGTTGTTTTTATTATTATTATTATTATTATTATTATTATTATTATTATATCTTTTCTTGGTTTACAAAAGTATGTGCAATATCTCTCTCTCTTTTTTTTCTTCCAAGTAACATTTTTTACAGATCAGTTTCGTTTGTTGAGACATTAGGAAGAAGGGGGGGGGGAAGAGGTGGGGGGGAAGGTGAGTGGGGTTGGGATCGGGTGGCGATGTTTCTATTATACTTAATATATGTGGGGTTTTGTGTCAGCGTTGCTTGTGCAGGTTCTCTGCTATTCACTTGTGTTCCTTAGGTGGTGAGAGAGGTTGGAGTTGGCCTAGGGTGTGGTTGTTTGTTTGTGGTTAGCTGTGGTGATCTTTGTTTTCGTGTGTGAGTGGGGTGGGTGGGTGTTTTGGATCAGGTTAGCCATGTTGATTTGTATGCTGTTGGTGGATTTTTGTCATTGTCTTGTTGGGATGTGTATATGATAAAGGGGAGCAATACCGGGGTAAAGGTGTCTTCTTCTGTTTGTCCCCGTGTCAGTTTCAGTTTATTGGTTAATTTTTCTAGTAAGGCTGTTTCCCAGGTTGAGAAGTTTGTTGAGGAGAGGGTGAACAGAACAAGCAGAACTGTCTTGGTTTTGTAACACTATGTCATGTATTTTTGTGTTTTTATGTTGTAAACCACCCTGCTAAGCTCCTGCCTCTATCTACCTGGCCCAGGGTGGGGCCTGACAGGTTTTATAAGGACTGCTGCTTTATATCCTTTTAAATTCTTTTTTGTGTGTTTTAACTGTTTTTAACTGAGTCGTAAGGGTGGGATGTGCCTGGGAAGGGAGGAGCATGGGGAGGCCCAATTTCAGTGGTTCTGGGTAGGGGGAGGTATGGCTTGGGAGGAGGGACAGGGAGTTAGTGACTGTGCCAGTCCCTCCACCAACTCAGGGAATTGTGGTTGTCATATCAGCCAGCCCTCGGGTCTGTGACTGCTGCTGTTGAATGTCAGTTCAGTCCAGAATAAAATCTCCCTCATCCATAATCTGATTATGATGAGGTGGCTGATCTGGCATGTATCACTGAAACCTGGGTGGGTGAACAGGGCGGAGTGGGTCTCACCCAGCTGTGCCCAATTGGGTACTCAGTGCTGCATCAGGCCAGACTCAAGCGTTGGGGATGGGGAGTTGCTGTGGTCTATAGAGATTCTCTCTCTATCTCCAGGCTCTCTGTCCAGTGGGGGGGGGGGATCTAGTGTGTGTGTTCCAGGATTGGGGAATGGGGACTAGGATTCTGCTGGTTTACCGTCCACCTTGCTGCCCAGCAGTCTCCCTGCTTGAGTTGACAGAGCTAGTCTCGGAGGCGGTATTGAGGACTCCGAGACTGCTGGTTCTGGGAGACTTCAACATCCATGCCAAGGCAGCTGGCTCTGGGGTGGCTCAGGACCTCATGGCCACCATGACAACCATAGGGCTGTCCCAACATGTCACCGGCCCAACGCACATTGTTTTCTCGACTAGGCAGGAAGAGGGTGATTTGAAGGTGGGGGACATTGACATCAGTCCCTTGTCAATCACTTCCTGTTGAGATTTAGGGTATCAGTACCTTTTCCCCTTCGCAGGGGCAGGGGACCTATTAGGAAGGTCTGCCCTCGAAGGCTGATGGATCCAGTGGAATTCACAGTGGAATCCAGTGGAAGACACAATCGCCCCTGAGTGCCCTCTACCACTTCACAGAGCCTGATTGGCCCCCTGGCCTTCCCTGAGTTGCTGGAGGCCAGAGCTTAGGGCAAGGAAGCAAGCTGGGAGACAGTTGAATGCAAGTGGAGGAAAGATCTGAATGAATGAAACCGAACACTAGTTAGGGCTCATTATCGAGCCTACCTAGTGGCAGTGAAGTCAGCAAAGAAGGCATACTTTGCTGCCTCCATTGCATCCTCATTATGTCGTCCAGCAGAGCTTTTCTGGGTTGTACCGGCCTTTTACAGGCTGGCCCAAAGAAGGTGATAGAACCAATGATAGTTTGCTGTGTCTTGTTTGCAAAGCATTTTGAGGATAAAATCGCTTGCATTCACCAATATCTTGACTGCTGTTATAGCAGATGAATCTCATGGGGTGGCCAGAGCACAGTCTAGTCCTGTTGTGTTGGAGGAATTTCAATTGGTAAGGCTCGAGGATGTAGACAAGGTGCTTGGATCAGTCAGGGCAACCATTTGTGCCCAGATCCTCTTGCCCCTCTTGGTTGATAAAAACCAGCAGGGAGGGAACAGCTGGCTGGGTCAGGGAGGTCAATGCCTCTTTACAAGGGGGGAGGTCCCTGTCTGTTTGAAGGAGGCAGTGGTAAAACTCCTTCTTAAAATTTTCCCCTGGTTTCAGAAAACATAACTAACTACCGGGCAGTTGCTAATCTCCCTTTCCTGGGCAGGGTTCTGGAGCGAGTGGTTGCGGACCAGATTCAGGTGATTTGGGATGAAACTGATTTTTGGGATCCATTTCAATTGGGGTTTAGGTATGGTTTTGGCACAGAAACTGCTTTGGTCACCCTGTATGACCTCTGTTGAGAGAGAGACAAGGAAACAAGTCCCTGTTAATTCTTCTCGACATCTCAGCGGCTTTTGATACGATTGACCATGGTATCCTTCTGGAGTGACTCTCTGAACTAGGGGTGGGTGGCACCAGTTTGCGGTGGTTCCAGTCCTACTTGGATGGTCATTCCCAGAGGGTTGCAGCCCTGTGGAACCTTCAATGTGGGTTCCGCAGGGCTCAATCCTATCCCCCATGTGGCAAGGTAGCTCACTGGAGCAAGACGGTCTGAGCATATTACACCGATCCTGGTCCACTGCCTACCAATCAGTTTCTGGGCCCAATTCAATGTGCTGGCTTTGACCTATAAAGCCTTAAACAACTTAGGACCACAATATCTCAAGGACCGCCTCTTTCCATATGAACCTACCTGGACCCTGAGATCATCTTCTGAGGCCCTCCTTCATGTACCTCCTTCTCAAGAGGTCCGGAGGGTGGCAAAATGAGAATGGGCCTTCTCTGCAGAATGGGCCCCATCTGTGGAATGCTCTCCCCAGGGAAAGCCTCACACTTTCATTATACAGCTTTAGGTGCCAGGCAAAAATGTGCCTTTTTAACCAGGCCTTTGTTTGAGATCCTATACCCTTTTAAAATGTGGCTCTTTTCTGGTTGTTGTGTGTTATTGGGTTGTTGTTTTTATTTTGATTATATATATGTACTGTAGTTTTTATGTTGATCTTTTCTGTGAACTGCCCTGAGACCTCCGGGTATAGGGCGGTATATAAATTCAATAAATAATAATAGTCATAAACCACGCTGTGATCTTCGGATGAAAGGCAGTGTAATAATAATAATAATAATAATAATAATAATAATAATAATAATGCTGCCACTGGTTAATGACCCTTGTTTGTTTAAGGATCTGTCTGTCAATGACAAGGCAATTCTGGAAGGAGAGAATGGTTTGGGAATGCAGCTCAGCTTTCCTTCCTCACTTGGTTGGAGGGTGAATATGAAAGAATAATAACCAGCATCATCTTGGAGGTGGAGATGGAAAGACACAGAAGCCTGATCTTGCTTTCTGTGAGGATCCAGTGCTATGGCATTGGGGAGCATTCCTCGAAATAAATCCCTCCATATATCACAAAGACACCACAGCCCCCAGTTACAGTCACTCTAAGGAAATCAATCCCAAAGTATGTGCTGGTACCCCTTAAATTTCTCATCAGTTGAGGATTACAGTGTGTGTAGAAATGAACAAGGGGTGGAGTACTCAGGTGTGATTGGTGTGTTTCTTTCTTTGCTTTGCTTTGCTTTTTTATATCCCACTTTTCCTTCAAAGAGCTTGAGGTGGCGTACATGGCTCCTCCCATTCTCCATGTACAGTAGGTTAGGCTGAAAGTTGCCTAAGGTCACCCAGGGAACTTCATGGTTGAATGGAGATTTGGACCCTGGTCTCCCAGGTCCTAATCCAACACCCTATACCACAACTAACCCTATACCACAGCAACTCAACTTAACAACCTCTGCTTTGGCAACATGTTCTATTTACAAAGCTGATCCTGCCAAGAGTCTCACAGAACCTATACATGTCCCAGCTTTCCAGACAGCAATCTGCCTTTTAAAATCAGTCATTATCTTCAAGTGTGTCAATGCATGCACACTCTATGAAGCTATTCCCTATTTTATGATGACACATCAGCCTAATAAATATATCATATTTTAGTTTTGCATGTAACTGGTTCTTTATTTGGCTGTATGCTTTACATGAGATGTTATTTATATTACCTCGTTCTCCCTTTGCACCTGGAAGTCCAGGAAGTCCTCTACCAGGAATACCTGTAAGATGAAGATAGTAGCACCGAGGTAAGGCAATTTAAATGTTCTCCATAAATTAAATCTCACTGTTGTATCAAAGCCCCTGATGCTGGCTTACACATTAGAAATGAACTACTGTATTTTTTGCTCTATAAGACGCACCAGACCATAAAACACACCTAGTTTTTGGAGGAGGAAAACAAGAGGAAAAAAAATATTCTGAATCCCAGAAGCCAGAACAGCAAGAGGGATTGCTGTGCAGTGATCCCTCTCGCTGTTCTGGCTTCTGGGATAGCCGTGTGAAGCCTCTTCAGGGCAGGAGGAGCCTTCATCCCGCTGCCCTGAAGAGGCTGTGCGTGGCTAAGCCAGAAGCTAGAACAGCGAGAGGGAGACAAGATTTAAGAACTGCAGCCTCACATGCAAAAGCTGTTTCATGTGACTGAGAGCAAGGTACCCACCCCAATCCTGCTGGGTTCTTAAACTGAGCAAACTGTAGTATTTAGGGTGGGAAGAAGTTGGGAATTCTATTTCTCCAGCTTATATTACTGTGTTAGACTTTCACAGTGTCTCTCTCTGGCCTTTCTTCTGCAATATGATGTCACTTTTTCTAGGCCAGAAGTCTTGTCTGGACACAGCATAGGGGAGAATGGGGGAGCATTACGGAACTCATATTTCTCTACCCACATCTCTGGGGACTGTGAGAGAGCAGAAGGCAGGCAACCAGGGGCAGAATACAGGGAAATACAGGGATACAGGGAAATAGATCTGAGTGAAAAGTGAGGCCATAGAAGGTGTGTACTCTACAGCTGCAGGCAGAGGTGATTTTACGGCAGCACAACTGATTCAACCACACTAGGTGCCACGCTGCAGGGGGCACCACAACAAAGCTGTAGAACAGAGTGCCAGAGGTGGTGGGGCGAGCAGACTCTTAGTGTCACACAGGGTGCTGCTGAAATTTGAGAACCCAAAGTCTGCCACTGCTGCAGAGGAAACCTCCAGAGTTGAGGGGAATGAAGACAGGCGCAAAGCTAATAGATACATTAGAGCTCCTTTCACTTGCTGGCTCAACCAAAGCAGGGGACAGACAAGAGAAAGAAAACCCCCCTTCAGTTGGGTTGGAGTTCATAAAAGGTACCAAGAAGACTTGGGGTAGTGCCAGTGGTGGAGCTTCATGCTCTGGCACCGGGGGGTGGAGAGCAGGCGGGGTGTGGCACACTGTTTGCAGGGGTGTGGCGCTCAGCACAAGTGGGGGGCAGCCACGATGGCACCCCGCCGGGATCGCACTGCTGGGGGCAATGCACTCCCCCTGCACTCCTCTTCCTCTGCCAGTGGGTAGTACATTAATTTAGGTGACAATTCCCAACCGCCACAAAGGAATATGTCAGCTGCCCTGGAAACACTATTATAAGTAGAAATAATAGCATGAACTGTGAAATAACAACCCATAATTCAACCTACCAAAGGTAATCTTTCTAGATAAGAACATGTGTATACAAGTTTCTGTGGCAGTTTTATTTAATGTCATTTTTGCACATTTTGCCAAAGACAAAACCATTTCAATAATCATTTTGCCACATGAATCAATGCTGTGGAGTTTATCATATTCCTATATAGTCAAGCTCTAGCTGTCCTTCCCTAAAAATTAAAGAGGTATTTTGTGGCCATGTACACGGCTCCCTGCGTAAAGTGTACTTTCATTTGAACAGTTAAAAATAGTTGCATTTGCAGTGTACATACTGAGCAGCATGCACAATCTAGAGGAAGTTAATTGTGTTTAAATTTTCTAGATTGTCCCCAGAATCGGGACAATTCACTGGGTATCCTGCCATCCCTCAGGATACTGGCAGGGCTAACACATCAATCTTCACTTGCTTAAAAATATATATTAAGATTTGTTTAAAGTATATGATCAGGCATCTACTGTGGTAAAAATATTACATACTAGAAGAAAAAGAAGAGAAATATCTCACCTGGGTCACCCTTTGCACCAGGTGAGCCTGGGATTCCATCGTGTCCTGGCTGGCCCCTTTCTCCAGGAGCTCCTGGGGGACCTTCAGGCCCAAGGTCACCTGCAAAAGATAAACAGACAAATTTTGAGGAACAAAATGGTGGAATTGTGGAAACAGCTGGTGCAGAATTCAATGGGCAGGCTGCTCACTGGGGCACCTATCTTGGCCAGATTAAAAATGCTGGTTTTGACTTATGAAGGCTTAAATGGCTCAGGGTTGCAACACTTCAAGGACCATCTCTCCCCATATGAACCGACCTGGGGCTTTTCTGCCATGGCTCCCAACTGGTGGGATGCTCTCCCCAGCGAAGCTTGCCTGTCATCTCCATTTCATATCTTTAGGCACCAAGTGGAAACATTATTTGCCCAGGGCTTTGGCTGATCATAAAATCTATGGCCTTTTAAATGTGTCAGGGTGTGATTGATTTTTAAAATTATTATTATGTTATGTGTTTTTATACTGTAAACCGCCCGGTGATCTTCGGATAAAAGATGGTGTATAAACAACAAGAAGAAATGGTGTCTGTTCATCAAGAAAGTGTCCTGAATCTTAAAATGTAGGTTGCCAATTTTTCTGTTGCCTAACTTTATTGCTATCTTGAAAAATTGTGAACATATTCATTTTTCAGAAAAGACAGACTATTTGTTATTACAAAAATTGTGACTGACATCTCTTCACATGTACAAAGTTGGTTTTCCTGCAAAACCCTTTTTCTGGCTCACATTAACATATTAAAGTGCCAAATCATGAATGATATTTTGATAAGAAGATTATAAAACAGGATACTGCAGTTAAAATAAATTTTCTTACTTTCAATCAATACATTTTGCTACATCTTCAAATTTGATCTGCAACACTGTTGAGCTCTGAAGCTGAAGTTGAGTCCACAGATCTTACACATGTACTAACTGCAATGTAACATTTACAGTTTGTGGCACATGTCATTTTGCTGTTTTTACACTTGCACCAAGGAGTTCCACATCCCTTCTGGCATCCACAAAGATTAATATTTTTGAAGGAGTCAGGGGTGGCATCACTTGTTAGCAGCACAGGTTGCAGTTCTCCACTTTCAAATGTCCAACCCAAGTCTTCAAGGCTTGATTCCTTGAAATGAAAGGAATCTGGACAAGCTTCGTTCCACACTGCTTTCATAATGAGTTGTTTTTGCACCATTTCGGTGCCATTCCCTGGTTAATATAATTTATAAATTTTGCAGCAACGTGCGTAAATATGGTCAAATGCAAGTGGAATGTGCATGTCATGTGTCTCTGGCCAGAGGATGCCATGTTGCTGTCCTCTGACTCAAGAGTGCTCCAGCGCAAAAGCCCTAGTGGAGGTGCAGTCTATCCTCTTCCCCAGTCAACAGGCAGGGGTCCTTTAAACAAGAGGCTCCTGTCACTGAAGCTAGCAACTGAGCCTGAGCCTGAGGATGAATGCTGCTAAAGCAATATTTATATTATTTTATTATTCATCCAAGAAGGCTCCTAGAGTGGGTTACATACAGTCAAAACAAGACAGTCTCACCTCTCATGGACCTGCAGCCCATGGGCCATACAAAGCCCTCCAATACTTTTGAAGCACCCTGTGGAGCACCCCAACATTTCTGTGGAATATCTGTGTGTGATTTTTAAAACCCCCAGTTTCAAGCTGTTCCTAACCTCCCTGGGGTTTCACCGAGCACCCTCAGATTACTTTCAGGAGTTTCCTATGCACTGAGGCTTCAAAGTGCTCTCCAAAATGTTCTATTCACTCTATTGATGCTTCTGGGTGCAGTTTTGGGAACTGATGGTGATGTCTTCTGAAGCTGAAGACTAATGATTACTGGTGATAGTTGTCAAAGGTACCACAGTGGGAAACAGACAGAAGAATAACGGCCAAGCAATTAGCAAAAGCAGTCAGCTGGGGATTACTTTGCTGTGCTCTATTCAAATATACAGCACTTTAGAAAAGTCTCAAAATGCTGATTTCTCTTTAACTATTTACAGTAAATTGCATTTACTTATGCAATTTCAGTATTATGTGGTTAATGGCCAGTTGGTTGAAATCACACAAATGAAATGCATGGGAAGTGGAGAGCTTCAAAGCTCTTTTTGTGCAGGATTTTCCTGCTGTGGATAGAGTTTTTATGCAAGGTGCAGACCCTGCCTACCAGGCTCTGGGAAGTTCTCATGAGATCTCACTCACACATACACACCCCGGAACATAACCCCTGTATACGTTGTGAGTCTACTGTACTTGAACTGTACTGTCCTCTGCTAAAGATTGCCAATTCTCCTCCCTTTCAAAACACCTCAGCAACAAAGGTTTAAATCTTTTGTCTAGCAGAAAGCTCTACTGAATATAATTATTTCTGAACAGATATGATTTGAATTGCTCTTATGGACCCGTCTCTCTCTGTGTGTAGAGATGGGTGCAGACTGCCTGTCAGAGTGTGTATGTCTGCTGGCATGCAGCCCACAGAGGTGTGGTAAATCCTCAGTGTGGCCCTCAAGCAGAAAAGGGTTAACTATCCAAGTCTTGTGGAATCTCCACCCTGAGCCCTGCATGGAGCTGCCCAGAGTGCTATTGCCTTTCCTTTCAATTATGAGAATGTGCTGGTCATCTATTGAACCATCTGATTATCATCTTATCCACTTTTTAAGGCTCTTAGGCATTATTAAATCTGTTCCCAATATGGGTTAATATGGTCCAGAATTATGTTATATAAAGCCAGAACTGCAACACAGAAGAGTTCTATAAGCTTGGTTTGCAAAGCTTTGCTTTCTTTTGTTAGCAAAGTCACTTAAATAAGGCAGCTGAAATCCAGAGAGAAAAGAAATTCTGATAACATTTTACTGAGGGAATTGAACAAAAATATTGTATAATTTTAAGAAAAAGAAACAGGAAAGCCTGAAGTAGGAAAGACAGAACCTCCCTAATTTACCCCATTAGCTGGTTTATTGAAAATAGAATTCACTCTTAAATTATACACTGAATTATCTCTGTTGTTGAACTTCTAATATACTTGTCAAATTACATTTTTACCTTCTAATTTTAAAAATCCACATGCCTTTAACATCCATTTTTTAAAAATGCTGTGTAAATCACAAAGAGTAACCATTATGTTGCTGTTTTTAGAGTGAAATAGCAATTTTGACTTCAAAAATATTATTTATTTACCTTTTTCTCCTTTTAAGCCAGGAAAACCATCTAAACCTGGTAATCCCTTTCCACCTTTTTCACCTGGGATTCCTGGAATACCTTTATAATAAAGAAACATAAGGTTTTAGTGTTGCCAGCTGAGTACTTACTAGGCTTAGCTTTATCATAAAATACTGAAAGAAGCTTTGGATCACTTACCTGGAGAACCCTGGAGACCTGGTAGCCCTTTGGCACCTGGGGAGCCAGGGATGCCTGGAATTCCTGGAACACCTCTTTCACCTTTCTCTCAGGCACGCCTGGAATACCTGTCTTTCCTGGGTCTCCCTGTAGGGTAGAAAAATGAACAGTAAATTCTGCAAACATTTAACAATTACACTATGCATTCTAAAATCATTATAGTATTCATATCTAATGTCTGAACTCACTGTAGTTACACTAAGGCAAAAACTATGTTTTACAGCCCAACTGTAAGTACAGTTAACATGCCAGCTGCCTCTCCACTACAAACCAACCCTGAAGAAGGACTAGGGGGGATGCTCATCAAATTTGCAGATGACACCAAACTGGGAGTTTTCAAAATGACCTTAAAAGAATGGAGAACTGGGCCAAAACTAACAAAATGTACTTCACTTGGGAAATTGGATGGGTGACACATGTGAAAAGGATTGAGGGGGTCTTAGCAGACCACAACCTTAACATGAGTAAAAATGTGATGCAGCAGCAAAAAAGCTAATGCTATTCTAGGCTGCATCAACATAAATATAGTGTCCAGATCAAGGGAAGTAGTAGTACTGCTCTGTTCTGCCTTGGTCAGACTATATTGGGTCCTGGGTCCGGTTCTGGGCAACACAGTCAGAGGCGGAGCTAGCAGGTACCCAGAGAGGTGGGGGCGGGGCTAGCATCCCAGGGGGTTGTGCCAGCGGCAGCAAGTGTCCCAAGGGGGGTGCCGCCTGCAGTGATGTCACCCCTCCTCAGGGATGACACCCGGGGCAGGCTGCACCCGCCGCACCACCCTTTCTCCACCAGTGAACATAGTTTAAGAAGGATATTGACAAACTGGAACATGTGCAGAGGAGGACAATCAATATAATAAAAGGTCTGGAAACCACAACTTATGAGGAATGTTTCAGGCAGCTGGGTACATTTAGCCTGGAGAAGAGGAGGCTGACAAGTGGTATGATAGACATCTTCAGATATCTGAAGGACTATCACATGGAAGATAAAGCAAGCTTTTTCTTTTTTTGGTAACATAGTTTTGTACTACTTTTCCTCTTTAAACTGTTTAACACGGTTGCACTGAGATATATCTTTGTTTACATTAGAGTGTATGACATAAAATTACATAAAATTAAAAATAAAACAACAATAAACACTCAGATAAATGAAAGCTTATTTTCTGCTGCTCCAGAGAATAGGTCCTTAACCAGGGGATTAAAATTACAGGAAATGGAAACTGACCAAATATTAGGAAGAACTTTGTGGAACTAAGCAGAACAGACTCCCTTGGAACCAATGAGGAAGGTGGTTATGTTTAGCCTGGAAAAGAGATTTCAGACATCTCAAGGCTGTCCCATGGAAGGGGGAACTTGTTTTCTCCTGCTCCAGAGGGTAGGACTAGAACCAATGGATTCAAGTTACAAGAAAGGAGATTCCAACTAAACATCAGGAAGAACTTTCTGATGCAGGTACGTAGCCGTGTTGGTCTGACGCAGTTGAAATAAAAAATAAAATAAAATTGTCCAGTAGCACCTTAGAGACCAACTAAGTTTGTTCTGGGAATAAGCTTTCGTATCTGAAGAAATGTGCATGCACACGAAAGCTTACGCAGAACACACTTAGTAGGTCTCTAAGTTGCTACTGGACATTTTTTAAATTTTTTAATTTTTTTCGACTTTCTGATGGTAAGAGCTGTTTGACAGTGGAACGGTCTCCCTTGGGAAGTGTTAGGATATTTCCGTTCCACCTTAAAAGGGAGCAGGCTGTGAGTCAGAGTCTGCGTATTTCCTGTTCACAGGATGTTTATGTTTGCTGTTGCTTTCGTTTTCTCTCTGGTGTCGCAGACACTAAAGCAGTCAGTCATGTTTTTCTGTGTTCTGATCAACGCTGAATAAACTTGTAAATAATGCTCTCCTGGGTGCAACTTTTGGCTGTGCTAATTGCTGATAGAGCGTGCATGAGCTCTGGAATGTGTACAAGATATTTTCTAGAAACTCATGTCGCTGAGTGCCTACGGGAGGTAGATGGATCGTCCGGCAGACGGCTTGGGGGGCCTTGATGGACTTTATCTCCCTGGCAGTATCCCAACAACAGGTTTCGGGCCCAGATTCACAGCACTTACAGGAGAGTAAGACTGCGACAGACTGCTGAAAGGTATGTGGAGGAAAAGCGAAAGTGAGGCTTCTCGTTGCCGCGGCAAAGTCCCTTTTAGGCAAAGTCAGGCCTAATTGGATCTGGGAGCCGCGCCAAGAGCATTCGTGAGTTATGGGCTGCTAAGATAAGGGGTCTTTGAAGTGAATAAGACTCACGGCTCAAGTAAAAGGCTGAGATGGATCTTTTACAATCCTCAGAAGCTGCTCCGTCTCCACCAAAGCTAAATGGCCACAACTATCAGACCTGGGCAAGGTACTGTGAGGGCCAGATGAGAAAGCTTGGAGTGTGGAATACCGTTTCTGAGGACCCCCCAGCCCCTGTGACAGATGAATGGACGGCACAGGACTCAAGAGCCATGGGGATAATTTTGCTCTCAGTAGCTCCTGAAGAGTTAATCACCCTGGCTGGCAAGGCCAGTGCCCGTGAGATGTGGGACGGGCTTAGAGCCTGTCATCTCCGACAAGAGGCTGGGTCTGTGTTGCTTTATTTCAGAAAGCTGCACAGGAAGCGTTTGGAGCCAGGGGAAGACCTTAGAGCCCACGTTTTACATTTGCAGCATCTCAGACAGGAATTGACTCAGAGAGGTTTCAATATGCCTGAGTCACTGTTTGCAATTCTCATCCTGGACTCCCTGGATGAAAGCTACCATGCCGTGGCAAGTCAGCTGGCGACCCTCCCTGCGCAAGACCTCACTGCTACAAAGGTCTTGGCGACTTTGCAAAACGAATACGATAGAAGGAATGCAGCTGAGTCGGCTTGTGCGCTCCAGGGGGAGCAATGTGGGACAGCATTCCAGCCTCCAGGGGGAGCCAAGGAGTCGGCAGCTGAGAGCTCTGTTTCTCGTGGGAGCCAAGGTCATCGCCTTTGCAGAGGCCGGAAAGGCAAAGGTAAACAGAGGCAGACGCCTGCAGATGGCCAGAAGCAGAGGGAGGGTGAAGAGCCCACGCCAGTGGAAAACAAGGTTTTGTTTACTGGCACAGCTTCACCAAAGGCTAAAGGCAAGTCTGATGGCCAGGAGCAGGGGGGCAAGCTGCAAAAGCCCACGCCGGTGGAAAACAAGGTTTTGCTTGCTGCAAAGGCTGCTTCAAAAGCCAAGGCCAGGTTTGTTGTTGATTCAGGCTGTACCCGCCATGTCTCAAAGGACCGCCACCTATTTATCTCCTTCAAACCTCAAGAAGGTGAGATCCACCTGGCTGACGGAAAGACGTTGCGAATCGCAGGAGAAGGGACTGTGAGACTGGCAAGTCTGCACACTACCATCAAAGATGTACTGTATGTTCCAGGTGCTGCAGACAATTTGCTCAGTGTCCCACAGCTTACTGGGCGTGGTTTTGAGATTTCCTTCAAGAGGAGCGTCTGTGTCATCAGAAAAGGCAAAGAGGACATTTTGCATGCAAAGTTTATGGATGGCTTGTTCTGTATAACTTATGACGACAATGGTGCTATTGTGTCTAATGCTGATTCTTGTTGTGTTGCACAAACTAACAAAGTTCTTCATGCAGGATGCATTCACGATGCACATCGAAGGTTTTGCCATCTCTCTTGGAAGGCACTGGCCAAGATGCCAGAGATGGTTGAGGGTTTGAACATCAAACCCTGTAAGTTTCACATGAAATGTGTATCTTGTGCAGAGAACAAGGTGAAGGTTGCTCCAAAAGGCAAGGAGTCTAGCAGGCAGGCTTCCAAACCCTACCAGCTAGTGCACGCAGACCTGGTTGGTCCACTTGCGCCCTCTTTGGGTGGAGCAAGGTACTTCATGGTTCTAATTGATTCTTTTTCCAGGTACATTCATGTGTTTATGCTCGAGCAGAAATCGCAAGCGTTTCCTAAGTTCAAGGCATTCTGTGCTTGGTTGGAGAATGTTCACGGTAAACGCATTGGCTGTCTGTTTACTGATCGAGGCGGGAGTTCACTTCTCAGCAGTTTGAAGCTTTCCTGACTGAGAAGGGAATCCAGCATAGCCTCTCAAGTCCTGGATCTCCATGGGAGATTTGTGAGCAAGCAAAGCAAACGTTGCTGCAAGGACTGAAAACATTGCTGCATGATGCCAATCTCCCTGAGAAATTTTGGGGGGAGTCTTTGAACTCGTATGTTTACACTTTTAATCGCAGATTGTCATCACCTATTGGTTGTACTCCCTATGAGAAGATGTTTGGTAAGAAACCCAACATCAAGCACATGAGAATCTTTGGTTCTGACATGTGGGTACACACCCCACAGAGCAACAAGCTTGGGAAGCGTGGGGCACATGGTTTGTTCATGGGGTACGGAAAAGGTGCATACAGGGTGTGGATGACCAACTCTAAGTCCATTAAGTTCACAAGGAGTGTTGAGTACAATCCTAAGTGGGGGGAAAATGTGGGAATTTTCCAGAGTTACCCAGAGGAGGATGAAGGTGATGTCAAAGAAGCAGCTAAAGCTGAGGAAGCTGCTGAGGATGATGATGACGATGATGATCAGAGTTCGGATTCCAGTTCAGTGAGCTGCGCTGCTGCTGGTGTCAGTGACAGTGATGACACAGCAGACTACAAGAGCGCAAAGGCCTCAGTCAGACCATCTGATGCGTCTGACAATGAACTGGAAGAACCACTGTTCACCATTGGTCACTTTTCTCCTAAGAAAGAGGAGATGAGTCCAGAAGACTTGCGTCTAGTACGCAGATCTGAAAGAGCCACAAAGGGCAGACCTCCAAAGAGATTTGCTGATGAGTTTGCTAAGACAGCAACTGCTGTTCTTAGTAGCTCAGAGAAGGTGTGGGAACCTTCAAGCTTCAAAGAGGTTCAGGAGTTAACCTCTAAAGACGCTGAGCCTTGGCTTAATGCCATGAAGGCTGAAGTTGATTCCTTGAATAGGAACCAAACTTG